GTGAAAATCATCTTACTCACTCATTCACAGAAAACAATATATTGATTTAAATTTTCTAAGACACTTTTTGTGTAGAAAAGGTATATGCAAGGAGGCGTGAATGATCATGCATAATGCTGTGATTCACACCTGAGAAGACAAAGACCTGCATAATGAGCTGCATAAATGAGCCTTTCTGTGGTGGCAATTCTATGCCATTAATAACCAAGCGCACCACTGATGCTGCTGCGCGCGGTAAATCAATTCCGTGAGAGGAAAACAGATTTACACGCGAGGAAACGGGAGTCCGCGAGCTCATTTCAAACCCTCGCGCGCGCATGATCATTCCCCACATCCTCGCGCTCGGTCTTCCCTCACCTGCTCGCGTGAACACTTTTATTTTTGTCAGTCGTGGGGCGGGGCTTGCTGTTTTAATTGTAACCTCAAATGTCATTGGTTATTCCTCTTTTCCGGAAGCCAGTTTTGGACGCCTGTTATAAGATGATTTATAATTCTCTTGACTTAAGACATGGCACCAGTGGACCAGATACATGTGAGTTATCGAGAACGGCGCGGCCGGCGGATTCGACGAAGGAGCGTCCGGCGGGCTTGCGGCAACCACATGTTTTAAATAAAATATTTTACTTAACTGCTTGTGAAAACCCCATCCAATGCGATGAAACATTTTGCAAGTCTTTCTGTATGTTTTAAAAATAAATAGAAATATTTCATTTGTTGTAAACAGATGCGACGGCAACTGTGTGTTTGTCACAATGCAGACGCATCTCTCACGTCAAACGCGGAACAGGTAATTCCTTATTTCAATTTTCTTAAAGATTAAAAATAAATATTTATTTTACTTATTTTATTTCAAAGCATACTCCTGCTTAAAAGGCTAAAATATCCTAGTGTATTACTAGGGCGAGCCTACACTCAATATCTGACATCCTGTTTTAGCTATGATCTAGTTCTGCACTGTAATGATTTAGTCCACTGAAGGCGAGCGTAGTGATCAAAATAAAAGACATGAAAACAATGAACAAGAAACAAAACCTAAACATCACATTACATGCACTTTACATTACATTACATTGAACTTCCGGTGGCGCGGCGCAGCTGCGACTTGGGCACGAGAGAGAGCGGAACGTTTGTGTTTTTCTTTGTTGAGTTTACGTGTTAAGTTCTATGTTTAGGTTTGTTGTGCATGTATTGAAGTATAACGAAAATAAATAATGAGGGGGAAGAAGATCGTCGAAGTATTGCTGTTGCTTGCGCTGATTACATCGAGTGTTTGTATGCCGCACGATGTAGCCGACGTCGCCGCATCGGGGGGACACGATCGGGTGTTGTGGGTCTGCAGCAGGGAATGGTTGCTGTCTCTACGGAAACCTCTGGTAATGGAGCTGGGCCTGCTGGATGGTGTTCCAGAGGAGTTGTTGCGGCGACATGGGGTCGGGGATCATCGTCGTCAGCCGCGAAAACGAGGGAGAAGAGGCGGCATTCAACATCGACTTCGTCGAAAATGTCTCAAGTTACCGCTGCCATCAATACTCTTTAGCAATGCTTGTTCACTGAAGAATAAGATGGACGAGCTGCGTCTGAATGTAAGAGTTTGTAATGAATATCGCGAGTCGTGTCTCCTCATTTATTCAGAGAGCTGGCTTCAAGGTGATTTCCCGGATTCCCTTGTTCATGTGCAGGGGTTCTCTAATGTTCGCATGGACAGGAATAACAACTCCGGGAAAACGAGAGGAGGTGGCATTTGTGTTTTCATCAAAGACTCTTGGTGTAGAAATTATACAGTAAAGGACACGGTGTGTACTCCTGATCTTGAACTTATATGTTTAAGTCTAAGACCCTATTATTTGACCAGAGACTATGGGAATATCTTCATCTGCGCTGTATATATTCCGCCCAGTGGGGATGCATCAAAAGCGGCTTCAAGGATAGCTGATTGTGTCCACCAGCAATAACAGAACAAACCTGATGCACCGATATTTGTATTGGGAGATTTCAATCATTGTAGCATGGACTATGCTCTCCCAGGGTTTCAGCAGTATGTTTGTAACAGCACACGGAAAAATAAAATATTAGATAAATGTTAAGGAAACATCAAAGAAGCATATGTAGCTAAGATTAGGCCTCCTCTTTCAAATTCGGACCATAATACCATCCAGTTAATTCCTATTTACAGGTCTGCCTTTAGGAAGAGTAAACCGGTTTTAAGAACAGTTAATGTGTGTTTAAAAAGTTTAAACAGTTTTTTTTGTGTGTGTGTATGTTTGATCTGCTCTCCCGGTTGCCTAAGACAAATTTCTCCTAAGGGAGACAATAAAAGAGAAACCTAAACTTATAGTTAAGTATGATCATACTTTTCAGAACCGGCCTTTATCAGCATGATTAATATCATTTTGTTTATTTGTTTATTGTTTATTTTTTTATTTAATGAGAGACAATGCACATTAATAATGCACACAACATGTGAAAATGTGTCAGAATTAGGCAAAATTGGCTAATTTTAATCCATAGTCCCTTGGCAGGTTGATGTTAAAAACAATAAAAACAACAAACAAAGTATTCTCTTCACACACACACAAATTAAACTCCAAAAGCTCTACAAATGGTCAAATTGTTGGTGGGGGGAGTGAATAATCAGTGCTCTATTTCACCCTCAATACCATGACTGAGGTGAGACCCTTGAGCAAGGCACCGAACCCCTAACTGCTTCCTCGGGCGCCGCAGCAATATGGCTGCCCACTGCTCTGGGTGTGTGTTCATGGTGTGTGTGTTCACTACTGTGTGTGTGCGCACTTGGATGGGTTAAATGCAGAGCACAAATTCCAAGTATGGGTCACTTCACTTCACTTTACCACAAAATAGTTATTAAAAATGGTTGCTATTTTGCCAGGTTCACAGATGCGTTTTCATTCCAGATCAAGTTCAGTATTTTTCACTGGCTTTTTGTAATTTCCTGTTAAACATCCCAAATTTTCCCATATCAATTTTGCATTTCTTTTTCCTTCCTCTATTATGGAGATATAAACATGTGCTTTAGATTTTCTAATTTCACTTATTATTTTGTTTCTTAATTTATTAAAACTTTGCTTCTCATATTCTAGTCTAGATTTGAGATACTGTTTTAGTGCATAATCTCTTTTTTTCATAAATCACCAGATATGTTCATTTAGCCAAGGTAAACAATTTTGCTTTCTAGGTCTACATTTAATATGCCTCGTAAAAATGTTTGTAGTATTTAGGATAATATCAATTAAAACATTTGCATCCCTTTCAGTACAGTTATTAGAACTTTTTTTTTAAGAAGATTATGTAATTTATCCTAAAATTCATTATTTAATGAAGCTGGTCGATAAA